ATATATTTAGCTCAAAGCACTTGAGAGACAGACACATTTACATTCCAGGTCTCCTAAAAACTTAGTTTCAAAATACATGAAAAGCTGAAACGTGGTGTGGTCATTAAAATGCATTCAGGATTTGCAGACTGATGATGATTCATCTCAGAAAACCCTCTTCGACATAAGCTGCCTTTATAGGTTAAAAGTATCTGTGCAATTTTTGGCCCTGTATTTACTTTGTATTGGGTCGACACCAAAATTTGCACTACCGCACACCACTGTAACAACTGAGAGCACAAAAAAGCAAATATATTCCCCAATATTCTAACGTTTCCTTAAACGTTTCCTTAAAGGACCGTGACCTTGCGGCGTAAGGCATCAGCAAGAAACCCAATAATGTCTTTATCCAAAGCAGCTGTAACCTCCTGAGACCCTGTGTCCTCGCATAGCGGACATTTCTCTGCCTTATAATTCGATCTGATCGATAAAGCTGTTTGAACCATTTTTGTTAGCTCTATAAAACCCAAGTAAGGACAAACTTGAAAAAACCTAGCTTCTGTTTAAAGATGAAGGTTTGTTTTTGAGCGCTCCCTTCCATCCTCTTCTGTCACACCAACCTTTGCATGTCGTCCTTCACCATATCCACGAATGGTCTTCCTCTTTTCCTCCCGCTTGGCATCTCCATCTTTATCCTCCTTTCTTTGATATTTCCACTCCTCGGCTTGGATCTCTAACTTATCAGGACCAACTGAGGTCAGACATCAAGGAGAAATTAAATGGGTGTCCCAGACAGATTCCAAACAGATTAAAAATGCTGGACCAGAAGCCAATAAAATGGCACCACTGTGAAATTTAGAAAAAGTCTAACTTGTTAAAACCTGCATGAACCGCCCAATACCCAGACATGGTCAGTAAATGGTTTTTAAAACACAGGGGAACAACATCTGGTCAACACAAACATCTGATTCCACAGTTAAAGGTGCATGGATCTGAGAAAAAACACAAATCACATCACACTTTGTAATTTCTTTTTCTTTGTTTTTTTTTTACTTAAAAAAGATCAAAATAAAGATGTACAGCTGGAACCAAAATAAGACGCCGTACTACACTTCAGCTCTAAAGACAGATGGCAGAACAAGAAGGCATGGCAGCCTGGACTGCGTCAGCTGGTTTGTCCGCTCCACACAGGGCTACAGCAGATGAGCGAACCAGGAATCGGCGAAAACCAGCCCAGCCTTCGCTGATGGGGAACTGGCTGGTGCTGCTGAAGATGTGGCGTCTTTCATATCCGATCGCAGATTGTCCACTTCCGGGAGAGACCAGGACACTTTGAGACCGAAGCAAATACATTTCTGCTACAGGGTGTCCAGCCTCCCCCGGAGGATCCACAGTGATTCAAATAAGGAAGGGCTCTAATCACTGCTCGACATACAAACGGCGGCTTCGTAAGCTGGGGTTTGACGTCTTACTGGCGATAAACACTTCAAATAACATACAGCGAGAGTAATGGCATCGTCCGATTTTTGTCACGTCTCCGCAAACATAATGGTCTAGAAAGGACTACCCAGATAGCACTTGACTGTCGACATTTAAAACCGGGAGACAGAC